AGGGATGTTATGTAGAGTTTCAGACCGTTGATGGAAGGGTATGTGTGAAATAAGTTTAAGACTCGTGGCCAGGATCTTTCCTTGTGATGTTACCTATTTGCAGTGGATGAGACAGTTACGAAGCTTTCAGCTCCTGTACAAGAGTACCATTTGTGTTCCCACCCTTAACTGGCGCAACAGGACGAACGGTCTCGGTAGGGTGCTTGAGAGTGGCACTGTACCTATCATCTCCCAGGGCGAAGGAAGACGAAGGCGTCGGCAGCGTGCCTTCCGACAATTCTACCACAAGGCTCAATTCGTTTTTTTTTCCATCTCCCCTCGGACCTGTTGCCGTGGACGCACTCGGATGAACATTTGATGCTTCGAGCGCTTGCGATGGCGCACCAAAGTGGAGCAGATTCGATTCGTTGCCAGGAGTAGGAGTGATGGTAAGAAGTCCGGTCGAAGTCGGTGGCAATTGCTGCGTAGTTTCGGATTGCAACCTTGCTGCGTCATTATCTTGAACGGCTCTAATTATCTTCTTGCTAGTGTGTACAGGCGCCACGCCTCGGACCTTTGGCTTTGGTGCATTGAAAATTTTAGCTGCGGGTTGACCTCCCATTCGAACAATTACTTTGGAAAGACCGGCCTCTCTCTTTGCGGCATGGGTCTTGACCAGTGACGACACTGTAGGCACGGGTGGTTTCCTAGTTGGTATCGCTGCTTTATCGGTGGTAGGATCTGTAGCTTTTGCATCGGCCCTCTTGGACCTGGTTAATTCTGAATTATGTTTTCCTACGTCATTCATCCTAGATGGAGGCCTGGAGGGAGGTCGGGAAGGAGGCTGATTCCCAGTCCCGTTGACCGAGCTAGATAGGGCAGTCGACTTGGTAGCAGCTTGTGACGCCATCTTTTCGGTTTTCAACGCCTGAGCTCGCGCTTCTTGAGCCTTTGTTGGCTGCATCACTGAGCTCTTCAAGTTACGTTTAGGAACAAATCCCGATGACTGAGGTGCTCTCTGGGTTGGGATCTTGACTGGCATTTTCATACTGTCCTTAACATCGGCGGAAGGCTTGCGAGAGTGGTTGGCTGGGGGCGCCGCTTTAGAGGTCCCAGATACTACTCGAGCTCTTGGCTGGCCTTTCACAGCTCCATTACCGCTACTATTGGACACTATTCGAGATCTCGTGGATGAACCAAGATTCGATGGAGCTTGAGCAGGCTTAGTTCCTCCTTGAGCTTTAGGAGCTTGCACGGGGGCTAGTGCTGGTGCCACTTTCTCTTCCTCTTTGGTCGGGAACTTGATGGGCTCCGGATCTTTCTTTATATCCTCTCTCTTGGCTTGAATAGCTTCTGTGGGACTAGATAGCTCTGATTGTCCTGGAGACTCTACTTCAGGCTCTACTTCAGGCTCTGTTGGAATTGGGGAAGTTGATAGTTTTGGCTCAGGCAGTTCTTCTTTATCTCGGACTATGACTTGCTGTTCTTCCTCTGGGCTTTTCGGCTGCGCAGGTTCATCTACGACGGGGTGAATGGGTACTACAAGATCCATTTCTGCTTTTCCGTCCTCCAACCTCTTCTTCTTATTTAACAGCTCCAATTGGTAAGCTAGGGACCAAGTTTTTTGCGCACGAGGACGAGGAGCTGCCTCAACTTCTGTTGAGGGGAGGTACACTACTGTCGGTCTTGAAAACCCTCCACTCGGTGTCTGGGCAGGCACGGATACTGGAGGTGGTACTGACCATGAGTCTTGTGCTTTGAAAGGTGTAGTAGTAGGTTGTACGGATTTCGGAGGAGTCTCTGAGGGAGCCATGTCGACCGGTAATGATCCAAATCGCTCCAGGGTGTCCGATGTGGCTGAGATAGGACGCGCATTGCGCGAGGAGTCGGCGACTTTGTTGGAACGAGTGCCTTTCGGTCGCATGAAAGTTGGCCTGTCCGAAGCGGCTGAATTCGGACGTGGGGGGTGGTCAAGTGTGGCCATGTTCTCCATCCTGTTTCTCGATGTACCAAGGCCGCCCGCTACCCTTAAGGCGCGATTAGACTCTTCTCCTTCACTCTTTATCGAGGTAAATGCTAAACGTTGACGGCTGTCAGAGAGGACTCGTTCTCTCTCATTACCTTCGTAGGATTGCGGGAAAGTGATTGGCACAGGGCCCTCCCCAGACCCGGATGCGTCTCCTCGAGAAAGCTGTTTTTGTGTGTCTTTCCGTTTGTTCATTTTACTGAGACCGGACGGCTTAGGTGGCTCATTAGGCTGGTTGGATAACCAGTCAACCTCGCCAGGTAAGTGCACGCTAACTGGACGAGAAGGTCCAGCAATTTCTCGACCCAGTGGAAGATCTTGAGATAAAACCACCTTGGGACGAATAGATGCCACAGAATGTGGTCTAGGAGGCAAGGCGACTGCGGCCAATGAAGGGTGTTTGGAAGGCCCAGGTTGGACATCTGCCACCGCTGAAAGGGGCCTCTCCATACCCTGAGACGATTTCAATGTTTTATCTGGCCCAGCTTTCTTGCTCGTATTGGCGACCGTCAGCTGTAGGCGCAGGGGTGGTGCATCAACGTTGAGGCCTGCTGCAGCGGCCTTCTGTAGATCTAGATTTTTTCTTGTTACGGGTGTTAGAGGTGAAACAAAGCTATTGAAATGTCAGGAGAGACAATAGACTCGTAATAAAATACTTGCATGGCGTAGCGTTCAGGGAAACGGTCTCGATATTCTTGGAGCATGATGCGGGCATTCTTTCGAACTTCGGGATTAGCATCTCTTCCTGCCAACTTGATAATGGCTTCTATGTCGGGTAATCTAGAGACTAGTCTCTCCTCATCGATGTGCTTCATGCAGAGGTTCGTAGATTCAGAAGCGACAGTCCGCAGATTGACGCTCTTGTCTTTCAATGCATCTTTGAAAAATGGAATTATTGAGGGCAATCTTGTTTGCTGAATTATATTGGTAATGCATGCATGTGTTCGCGTGATGACCACCTTGTTGGGACGCTGGCATAGTTTCATTAATGTCGGAGCAAATACCAGCATTAGAGGATCAAATCTCTTTCCTAGGGCGGACGCGAGTGTAGATACAAGCTCCACTGCGACGGCTGATAGACGACCTCGCTCTGAGAGCATCTGACGCGTGGTGGTCAGCTACCGTATCAACAACTATGAGCTCGTCTTATCCTTACAGGTGGATTGATAAGTCTGGAGACCGGTCTGAGACTAGGAACGAAGGAATCATGTCTATAGGCACCCCCACGGACCAAAGATTTGAATCTTGCCAGAGAGCGTTGCATTGGTTCCCATGATTCCTCCGTTTCCTCTCGGTCGAGAGAGACTCTAAGATCTTCAATTTCACGTTGCAATTGATACTCTGTATCACACTGATCATATTAGCACACGCAACATTTCAGCAGTCCTTCAACCCGTCCATTACTTACTGGAATCTTGTCAGGAATAGCGGGTGGCATCCCCGAAGCGCGTTTTTATATGTCACCGATGGATCAGAGGTAGATTGTATACGATCGCCGAAAGAGGTTTGTAAGTGGCGGGTCAAACACGATTCAAACCCCGCCCACCGGCTTCCTTCGCTGACCAGTTGTGGCTTAGCTCACACGACAAAAAAGAACTTAAAGCATATCCATATTGCATAACAGGCTTAGGATAAGGACAGTGTATCGAGTTCATGATCAGAAGTATAGAATACAACGACTAGCCACGCTTCTTGGACACACCAACAGTCTTTCCACGACGACCTAAATAGTGAGAAGATGTATTCAGTAACATGTTTACGAATGTCAGACTGTCGAAACCCACCTGTCGTCTTTGTGTGTTGACCACGCACACGAGTTCCCCAGACGTGCCTCAAACCTCTGTGTGCACGGATCTTTTTTAGGCGTTCCAAGTCATCACGAAGCTTCGAATCGACAGCGTTGGACAGGATTTGGCCGTATTTGCCATCGACGATATCCTTTTGCCTGTTCAAGAACCATAACGGAATCTTGAATTGGGTTGGATTTTGCATAATGTTGACAATACGTTCCAACTCATCAGAGTTGAGTTCACCAGCACTATTTATTCAAATCAGCGAAAGTCCCGTGGTACCAGGGGGCAGCTGCCTCGACTAACCGCTTCTTGAGGTCAACATCGGCTTTCTTGCAGACAATATTTGAGTATCTTCGACCGACACCCTTGATCTCGGTCAAAGCGTATCTAAAGTAAGGAGAGGTTGATATTGAGCAAAACCCCGTGACGCGAATACGGCTAGACTAACTGGACTTTTCGCTTTCCATCAACGTTGGTGTTGAGCAGACGCAAAATGTGCTAATGGTAAAAAGTATTTAGCGGGAATTCGATGAAGAGATCGTTCGGGCGACCCACCTGGAATTGCACATGCGCCTCTGGGACGACAAGAGACATGATTAGATGGAAGAAATGCTCGACCTAGATAATCAAAGTAGTTAGCGATGATCTTGTTTCGATGTAGATAGTGGAGGTAGGAGTTCTGCAGTGGCGAGGCGAAAGTGTGCCGGCAGGATAGAGGATATATTCCCAAATGTTGACCACGAAGAATGTCGAAAATTGTTCTACCTTTTAGGATTTTCGAAATATGTAGGACCGATAGGTGGAGGGGTCAAGCAAGTCCGTCTGTTGTTAAGTTTGAGCCAAACACGAACAAACAGTCCATTCACAGAGAGGGCGTCACAAACAAATCTGGGAATAGAGGATTATAATTTGTTTACCTTAGCGATTTATCTTGAGTCTGTTCAGCTTCTAAACATCGTAGAGGTTGTCATCTTACAGTTAGGACTCGCATTTGGATCGAAACTCGATAACAAGGCAGAAATTGAATCCATGATACACGAAGATGGATATACAGTCGATTATGCTCGTACTTTTTGTGCTCCTGCAAGCTGACCTCCCAATCCTTGCGCGAATCGAGCACCTCTTCCCCTAGCTCCTCCTCTGATAGCACCTCTGCCACCCGTCCGTGTTCCTCTTCTTTCTCCACCACCAGCTGCTTCTCTCTTTTCTCCTCCTTTCCCTTCTCCCCTATCGGCCCAACCACCGACGCTCGCACCAAGTTTCGTATCAAGATTCTTTTCATTCTGCTCAACCAATTGAGCGACCTTCTCCGAAAGCGTCAATGCAAGCTGTTGCAGTTTACTTGGTTCTACACGGTGGAACACAATAACGCCATCTGCTTGATCTAGGGAGGCTGCGAGCTCTTCGTTCCAGATCATCTTGGATACGATGGAGGTGACTGATCGCAGAGGAAGAGAGAAAATACGAGCCTAGAGCACGTGTAATTATGCGACGCTTGGAGCATGTATACTACAAAGTCAGTATTCCTCTATTTAAGCTCCAACTTTCTAACCATTCGTAGCCCGATTTGGTAGTAGAAGCTTTGGAGCAGATTCAAGATGCAGATCCTACCAATAAGCCCGTTCTTTCGCTCCGGACAGCAAAAAACCCACAAGCTTTGGTTCATAATATCTGTATCCTCCTCTACCAGACCTCCAATTCTTTACTTCGAACTCGAGCTATGCTGTGTCACATCTATAACCACGCCCTTCACAACGACTTCCACACCGCTCGCGACATGTTGCTCATGTCGCATCTGCAAGAATCTGTTCACTCTGCAGATATTGGAACGCAAATCCTATACAACCGAACCATTGTCCAACTAGGTCTTTGCGCTTTCCGGTGCGGTTTGATCAGGGAATCCCAGTCTATCTTGCAGGATATATTCGCTTCGCAAAGGGTGAAAGAATTATTGGCTCAAGGCTTGCATCAACAGCGATATTCGACCCTCACTCCCGAGCAGGAAAAGGCTGAACGAACACGACAAATGCCTTTCCATATGCATATCAATACTGAGCTGGCAGAAGCTGTCTTTTTAGTAGCGAGTATGCTCATCGAGATTCCATTGTTGGCGAGTCTGGACACGGAGGAAGCCAAGCGGAAGGCCGCATCGAAATCGTTCCGACGACTCCTTGACCACGCTAGTCGTCAAGTATTTAATGG